GGGGGGGGGGGGGGGGGGGGGGGGGTGGGGGGGGGGGGGGGGGGGGGATACTTGAGAGATGCGGAGCCTACTCTATTCACACAAGGAGAGCTGTCGGTCAGGCTACTTCTTGTTGCTTTCTAAACTAGTTATTGAATCAAATATTTACAAATGTAAGTAAATGTAGATGTTTAACGATCCATTAAAATACACCAGAGTGCAGGAAATGACATCTGCTTTATTCAAAATCTAGACACACACCCGCCTACCACCTCCGCTATTTGCTTTCTGGCATCGTTTGGTTTACAAATTAAGCACTGCCTAAAACTTTTGTTTTATGGTTAGCTTTTACCTGTTTTGTCTGTTAGCAAAATATTTCATGAACCACTGGTTCGATTTTATTGGAACGCTCAAAAAATAGTCACTGGATATAAGACTACAGCTGGAGTCAACCCAATTCAAAATGTCTGCCACAGCTAATCAATATTATCCAACACATAAATTACTATAAATTTGCCAAATGTGCAGATTTGCACTAAAGTTTGTGGTGGTAGTAGCTGAGAATTATCCCTACCATAATCTCTGAGCCGTAACACATTTTGCAAGATCGCACGTTACATGAGATCACACCTACAATCATTTACAAATTTTGACCAAAACAGCTAAAACTCATTTCTCGTCATATGAAGATCTTAGTCAGAGCCTGTGGCGGGACAGGCAGCGGGTGATAAGCATTCCTTCAGGAAATGCTAGATCTTTAAATCTGATGACTACGTTTTAACTCGTGCCCCCATTTGCTCTGAAGGAACCAACTCCTGAGGCTCCCCCACTGCCTGGGTGAAACCGTGTCAAATGTGATGGAACATGTCGAGTTGACGGGCTGGACAAGTATTCTTATAATGGCCCAGTTTGTCACAGCCAGTCAAACAAGTTAAATCAGCATCCAAACAGTGGGGAGTCCATCCCTTTATCACACTGATGAAAATGGTTTTCTTTTAACCTTCGTTTTATGATACATTTATTGCCATTATCGCCTTTTTTATTTGCCGGCAGCCAATAATGTTTTGTCTGTTTGTGTACTAGCAGTTGCATTTTGTAAAATATTTCATTAAACAAACTGACAGACTTTAATGAAACTCTCAGAAAATAATAATGAAATGTACTTTTACAAATTAAAGCCTTTTGGAATCAACCTACTTCAAGATGGGCGCCACAGTGAAGCCACATCAGCAAACACAAGAAAGTTGTTTTTGGAGATATTGAGCTCTGGTTTTACAAAGTACTTTGCTGTTATCACATTTTGTTTGCTTGAAGGTTTTGCGGGGTGGGGGGG